GGCACCTTCTACAAACAAAATGAGGGTACCCCTATGGGCTCCCCCTTGTCACCAGTGATAGCCAATGTTTTCATGGAGAAATTTGAATCAGATGCCATCCAGACATCCACCCTTCGCCCTTCCCTATGGAAGAGATATGTGGATGACACTTTCGTCATTTGGCCACATGGCCTCCCAGCATTGAACCATTTCCTAGGCCACTTTAATTCCAGACACCCATCCATCAAATTCATCATGGAAGTGGAGAAAGATGGCAAGCTGCCATTCTTGGATGTTCTGTTTGAGAGGAGGACTGATGGCTCTTTGGGACATTCTGTTTACAGGAAGTCCACCCGCACAGACTCCTACTTGAAGCCTGATTCCCACCATCACCCGACTCAAAAGAACTCTCTCATCAAAACATTATACCATAGGGCTCATTGCATTTCTGACCAACACCACCTGGCCAGTGAATTAAAACATGTACATCTGGCCCTCAAGATGAACGGATACTCTGACCGTACCATCCGCCAAGCTGTTTCTCCCACCATACAGAAACAACCACCTGATACTCCGATCAAAATCATCACGTTACCATACATTGCAGGGGTTACTAAAAAGATTTCCAAAATTCTAAACAAACACAAGATCCAGGTCCGGTTCAATATAGTACACAAAATCCGTGATCTGATCCCATCCGTAAAGGATGTCATTCCTGACTTACAGTACCCCGGTGTTTACAAATTGAGTTGTACCTGCGGTGACTGCTATATCGGGGAGACGAAACGACATATTTCTGACCGAATCCGCGAGCACAAATCAGATTTGAAACACGGCAGAACGAATTCTTCGGCCGTGGCTGATCATTGTTTCAACACAGCGGGTTCTCATGACATTGTTTTGTCTGATACCAAAGTTCTCTGCAAACCTCCCGGTTATTACCAAAGATTTGTCCATTAAGCCATCCAGATAGACAAACATAGACACAATTTCAACCGAGAGGATGGTTTTAAATTGAGCAACCATTGGAAAGATGTTATAAACCAAGACAAACTTTAGCTGCCTTATAATTGTACAGTCATTGCCATTGCTTTCAGTGGGTTGTATGTACACGTGCATCTCTCCCCCCGAACCCCCTGCAGCATAACAAAAGGCGGCTTAACTCAGCCCTCCCCCCCACCCACGTCCCTTCTTGGCTCCTCCCCCCCCCTTAACCTGTATATAATCTCGGGTGTCTCAGAGCTCTTCACTTGATACAGATATTCTGTTGTGACTGTTCCACCTGAAGATGGAAGCTTGTGTTGCCTCCGAAACATCGTGATTTAATTTAGTTGTTTTATTTTATTTAATTTTACCTACGTGACTTTACCGAAAAAACCAAAGAGTATGAATCCTTGCAGTCACGAAAGCTTCAAATCTAGAATCAAATCTAGAATTAGATTCATATTTTGTTTGTTGCGGTTGCACCCGACTTAAGAGCCGCATGGCTCACAGGGCTATACCTAATAAATGAAAACTTGAAAATGAAAAAACTTGATTTTCGGTAGCTAATTCAATCGTAAGGGTCCCTTCGTGGTCTTTAAGATATACCGATGGTGCCCTTTAACGCACGAACCTCGATCTCGGCTGTGCTCCTGGGGTGATTGGGCGTTTACTGCAGTGCCCTCTCCCCAGTTGTGGAACTCCCGACTGGAGTTCACAAGAACTCACAAACAACCCGAACAAGACCCAGAGGTATAACATCTCTGGCTTCCATCTTCAACGAAGCTTCTGGGGCCAAAACCCCTCAGCCATATTCGCACACAAATATTCCATATGATGCACAAAATATTCCATTTGCGGAACAGACTTTGGAACAAATAACGACTCGATGCTCGGTTCAAACACGAAGGAGGGAGGCGAATCATCACAGAGATACACTCCGCTATTCCTGATGCCATTGTCTGAATCAACCATCTCAATGTAAAATTATAGTTGTTGCTCTATTTCCACTGCTCGAGCACTTTCAGATGCGTTTCTGCGGCCGTCTGGAACGCTCTTTCTTCGGATATTAGGAAGCCACTGGAGCTATGTACTTCTAGATCAAGATTGAATACTGATTTATTTAAAACTGCTTTTTGTGTTTAGTTTGTTGTCCTTCCCCTGCAACCTCCGGTTAGCATGGTTGGGTACGTACAGTGCGAAAGAAGTTCAACATACGTACGTGCAAGATTTTTCACGAAGTCAATATTGCACACTCACACAAATCCCCCCCCCCGCCCCCCCCCCCCCCCCAAATGAACCCATCTACCTATTTTCCCAAACCCGCGCACTTCCCCAACCCCACGCATGGCAATGTCAGCCTGCCCAGAACAGCTGAACCAGGGCATCATTGTCAGCTGCCATGTGGGCAGATAGGCCTACCTTAATTGAAAGCACACTATATAACAGGACAATTAAATATACGATCAATTGTGCATGGGTTTATGTTGATGTGCATGTTCTTGTTGCAATTACCGATAATGCCTGTTATTTACCGAGAGAAGTCTCAATGGATCCCACAGACTCGTTTTAAGGAGGGTGGAGCTGCATTTTTACGATGCTTATCCAATTCCATGAAGCAGTGTTTGAATCCACGTGGCAAGAAACCCACAAGAGACGCACCACACGTACGAGGGAATAACACTCGGAGCTCAGCAAAGGATTCAAAAACCTACTGTCTGTGCTACTATCTCCTGACCAATTCACAACCCAGTGGATTAAGGAGTTTCACAAATGCATGCCATCCACCAAAGCTTTGCCTGCAAAGTATTGGATTGCATGTGTGTGCAATATTTCACATTATGGGGAGCAGTGGCGGAGCAGTTAGCGCGCTGCGCTACGAACCTGGCGACCTGAGTTACGATTCCCGCTCACGACCAATAACAAGTGGTGAATATTTCAACCGGTCCTGTGCCCTCCCCTATGCCAACTTAGCCTTAAATGAGTACCTGGCAGAACAGTCGATCAAAGGCTATCAAGGGGTGTTTGTCTTTGCTCTAGCACACCTGTTAATTATTGACTTGCTGAGAACCTGCAGAGCTCTTTAGCTCCTGTGTACGCAGAATAGAGGGCTGTGCTTGCATTCTAATTCGTTGCCATTACAACCCTTTTAAAAAAAAGCGCTCACAATCAGAATGCAATGGGGCACAATGACCTATGGCACAATCTTTTCAGACCTCAGAAACTAAGCCCTGTTGTGCCTGGCAAATGCTTAGATGGGGTCAATACCATCCAATGCATCAGACAGGTGTTATAGACTGTGGCAGAGTTCATTAGTAGTAGGCATTGCAGCAAAGTGCATTGCTGTACTGTAATCTATGACTCCATGTTTATGCTCTCCGCTGTTACCAACCCGCACTGACCAGTTTGGTGAAGTATGGTTATATAACCACCGCAATTTGCATGGTGTGGGGAGGCCCTCATCCAGCAGTAGATTGGCAAACAGCTACACGTGAAAACAAATTGTATTAACATAAAAAACATTTACTGGCCCAAAATGAATACTAATCATATCAATTCCCACCATTGTTAAAAATACAAATATAATAGTGTTGAGATTTAATTTAGTATAACGGGCAGTGGCCCATGAGTTTAATGTTGGATTTACAGGTTTAAAGAGGAACAAATAATGCCACTCATCCCACATAAAACAGTCATTTCATAACACCATACTATCACCATATCATTCTGCAAAAAGTCTAAAATTTAATCCTTTAAAAATAGATTATTACGGCAGCTTTCAACTTTAAATCACCCAAGAGTAAACGTGATTTCATTTTTTGTCAAATGATCTCACCTCATTACTCAAGTCTTGCGGCAGCATCGCAATATGAGATGCATGGAAGCGAGGTGGGTGAATGGCGAAGATGCTCTGTGTTAATCACTCAATGGAGATATTATCTCCCTCGCCTGGTATACAGGAGGTCGTGGGTTCGAAACCGACCCTGACGCCTGCTCTATATTTGGAGTTGCATGTGTCTCTCCCCGTGGTTGCACAGTCCTCCGGTTTTCCCCTCCACATTTAGAATAAACACGGGTTTGGAGCAAATCCATAGCCATCTAGAGACACTGCTGGTAATTTGGCAAATTTCACATGTTTTGGTTACGTAAAAAAAACCCACGAAATGATCTACTCTTGCATATGATAATGATGCACCTAAGGCGATTTCCTGCACAAATCTCTATAAAGGCTGTGTAAGAAATAATATTGCCGACCGCAGAAACATTGCCATGATGATAATGAGCATGCTTACAACTCCGGGCTGAACCAGCCACCATGAGTTTCAATCCCAAGGTTTGGTCCAACGTCCTCTGAAGTACTCACCGACACAGATTTATACAAGAGCTCAGCAGAGGATGTAGTACATTTTAAAAAATACATACTCTTCGTCCAATACCAAATGCGTTTTTTTACTGAAGTCAGGACACGGCTTTTACTTTCTCCCTATTTCTCCTTTAATGTCGATATTTTATTCTCCTGTTTCGTTTGAGTTTTGTTCAGCTGCTGGACACTCTCCTTAAATTGTCAAGTTTGGCATAGGCAATTCATGTAATTCTATGGCGCTTTCATGGAGGCGCCTTAGGATTGACAAAGTCGCATTGCAATAAAGTGTCTCAGATGTACATGTGTGACGCTATGTTATGTGGTTGTTCCCGAACAAGGTAACATGTTTTACTCAGTGATCTGTGTAGTAATTTCATAGTTTGATTAGCACGGTTGGCTACAAACGATGCGAAAGAACTCCAACATACATACATTTTATTTACCCAGGTGAGGATGCCAAGAAGAGACCAGGAAAGTCTCAATTGCAAGAATCACCTGGGGCATTAGTCTGTCAGTAGGGGGTGATGATCGCCTACTGGCATGACAAACACCCCAGGTCACCCTTGCAAATGAAACTCATCCCGGCCTCTGGTGTCAAACAAAACAAACTCGACTCAACTTAAGAGGCGGAACAGAATAAGAAAAAAAGCTCAAATAGCTCGACGGTCAACGTCACCTGTTCTGGTGAATGACGAAAAGGTTGAACCACTCATCCTTGTCTTCCTTGGGCCGCAGCATCAGCACGTCGCCCTTGACGAACATGCGGTGGAGCCGCTCGTCACGAATGGAACCTGGGCCAAGACGCAGCGGGGGGGGGGGGGGGGAGGGTTCGAGAGAGGAGTCGGATGTCGGCGACACGAAGGTGGGATGATAAAAAGGGACGTAGGCTTTCGCAACCGATATTATTCATAATGAAAGTTCTTTTACGTTCGATCGCATACATATAAATGAATCCACTACCACCCGTCATTAACCCATCACCACCCGACACAACAAACCCTACTAATTGGCTGTTCTCGAGTGGTGGTGGGTTAATGATGCATTTATATTCACACGGTGTAAGCCAATATAACTTTTTATTATGAGATGAAAAATGTCACCGTTAAGTTTATTTAGTTTTATTTCAAGTTTATTTATTAGGTATAGCCCTGTGAGCCATGTGGCTCTTGACTCGGGTGCAACCGCAACAATAAAAAAATATGTACACAGAACATCTTAAAATGACAACACGCAACAGAAACATCCAGGAAAAACCAGCAAAATCTTCCTGAAAAAAAAACACCGTATAACAAGGCTGTGTGCGCAAAATCCCAATGAGATTTAAGTAAAAAAAATAACTAAAAGACAATTTAGATTAAAGTTATCAGGCTAACTCAGTACTTTAACAAACAAACATGGCTTAACCATACGCTTTGAAAGCACCAAAATAAAACTATAAAAACAATGTAACAGTGATCATAGGAATTGTGATTCAAATTTAACAATACACGATATACATAACATGTACAAAAATAACTTTGTAGCCAAAGCCACCAGCATAAGTTACTCCATAACAGCAGCAATATCAGCAGTAGTATCGTACTATATCAATGCATCTTGAAAGATCAGCAAACTATAATCAAAACTTAAAAGTCATACTTTGCAGATCTCACAGGTAATGATCCAAGTTTCAGTTTATTGGCGATAGCATTCCAGACCCTTGGGGTATTAACAGCAAAGGCCCTTCCTCCAGTATTTGTACGACAATTTGTTCTTCGAAACAATGAGGAGATCCAGCAGGTAGTCTGCTGATTTTTTTGTAAGTACATGGTGAATAAATAAGATCTGATGCACAAGCCGTCGATCATTAAGAGATGGTGAGTTTGACCCAATGTAGAGATCGCAGTGGTGGGTCCGAAATGGGTAGTTCAATGCAAATCTTAAGACCGAATGATAAATTGGGTCAAGCTTCTTCGAGGTTGTTGTATGGAAGGCGAGCAGAGTGAAGGCCAGGACCGTGAATGAGCTTGACAGCAAAATACATTCGCAGGCCAGGGCTAAAAGTGACAGGCAGACATGCAAGAGGAATACAGATAAAACTAAGGAGATTGGACAACGCACGGATGCTTCGGTGAACATAGAGCAAAAAATGTACGAGACGCAGGAGAAATAAAATGGTCGCGGTGGAGGTGTGGGAGGTGTGAGAGGCGATGAGAAGGAAAGAGAGAATAATTTTTATGAGGACAATCCGAAAAGAGAGAGAGACAGACAAAAATAATAGGGAAAAACTTAGGATCTTGGGAAATATACAGGTGGTCAGGGAAAAACAAAGAGGCAGGTTTGAGGAAATTGCTAAGTGAGTTTAAAGGGTGGGTGTGGGGAGGAGAAAGGGGAAAATTGGATAAGGCAGCAAAATATATTCTCAGAATAAGGTGAAAAGACAGATTGACACAGAGAGAACCGAGATGAAATTATTGAATGCCCATGAAAGGACGTTTCGATCGCAACACAAGCAACCGTCGCCAGCAGTTCTCTTGCTGTGTCTGTGTTTGTCCCACCTGATGACGGTTGCTTGTGTTGCGATCGAAACGTCGTGATCTATTAATTTACTATCTACGTGACTTTACCGAAAGAACCAAAGAGTATGGATTCCTGCAGTCACGAAAGCTTCAAATCAAGATTGCCCATGAAACGTTCTCATCCCGTTCTGTATAATTCATTAAAATTCATGTATGCATTCACGGCAGAGTAATAGCACAGAAAGTTGTGATAGTTTTTTTTTTTTACTCAGTGTGATGCGAAGATTGGGCATGCTCGAAAGTGTGCCATGGAATGAAACAGGTTAAGAAGCGCTGCTGTGCGGGTACATCATCAAACACATCATGAGCTCCCCTCTAACCAATTCTAACGCTTTCTGAAAATGGTTATCACATCGTCAGATGGAAAAGTGTGTGAAGGCTGAAAACTGTGGTTTCTTTGGAATTCCATCACTTTCAGTAAGTGATAGGAAGTTGAACAGGAGACAAAGTATGTACCAGCTGGGAACTTTTATTTGTGCCCAATTTCAACAATCACTGACTTGTAACTCTGTATAAGTGATGAGAAAACAGACAAAATAGAGAGCGTGCAGGCTGAAAACATCCACATGTTAGAATTGGCTTCCAGTAACCCTGAGGCAAACGGATTTCTGGTTGGAGGGTTGACTCGGCCCATCATGGCTGAGGTCGATAAAATGAGTATGAGTTTGCGAGGAATGCAACGGGTGTCCTATGGTTAAACTCGCCCTCGTCATGGGAACGTGGAATTTCCACCGCTGTCTCAAAACTGCATACAGGAAAGGAGCATCAATGCCTCAGTGGACATTTGAGCCGGAAATCACTTTGGCTTTTAGGTGTTGTCTGCTTAAATGCCTAAAGTACTCCAATAACGCCACACCCCAATCTTACTCTTGACAGCTTTGATGACGACTCAGGAACGCTGAACCCCTATGATCGCTCTCTCTTCTTTTCATTACGAATTAATTTAACCTACTTTTCCATCATAAAGATATCACAAATACATTTAGAGAAAAATATGTGGCATAAACTTCAATTGCGTTGGGAGCATTTAAGAAAAAAGTACAATTGTAAAAGGTGCATGGGCACAGCTGAAACAAATTCAAGATTCAAATGCAAACCTGATGAGACAACTGGAAAACTTTGCACAAGGGGCTTGGGTTTCTGTCAACAGTAACTGCATGCTTTTTTACGACAATCATCTTCACTTGAGCTATATGCCAGCCAGAAATTTGTTTTAATGTGTATACCCAGTGAAACCTTGGATTGCGAGCATAATTCGTTCTGGAAACGTGCTCGTAATCCAAAGCACTCGTATATCAAAGCGAATTTCCCCACAAGAAATAATGGAAACTCAGATGATTCGTTCCACAACCCAAAAATACTGTATTCGTATAAAAATGATGAATACAAAATACCTTTGAATATTTTTATTTAAATTTAATATAAAGTAATCAAATTTATCAATTACATTTAATCGTGGCTGGTGTGAGGGAGACGGGAGAGAGAGAGGAGAGGAGGGTTATTGTGTAGGACGACTTTCACTTCCAGTACAGTTACTAAAGAACAGTCACTACACTTGGACACAAAATAAAAAAATGCTTTATGCACACACACGTGGTCACAACACTATACTGTAGTAAACACCGACTGAGACCGAGCATGGGAGATGATTACCCACAATCCCGCAGCGAGAGAGAAGAACCATTGGCTCAGTTGTGATCACGTGACGCTCGGCAGACAAAGCGTATAGTGTACGTACTGCTCGTTTTGCAAGACATCGCTCGTTTATCAAATTATTATTTATTTTAAAAATGTGCTTGTCTTGCAAAACACTCGCAGAATAAGTTACTTGCAATCCAAGGTTTCACTGTACTTCCCTAAGTGGTGACAAAGTAAAGCATTTATTAAAAATGTTTATGTTTAACTGTGCGGAATACATTATGCCCGAAAAAATAGCAGGTGCACGCTACGTATTATTTTCATACCAAAGTACGCAAAAAAATAATGAGCCACATCAATAGCGGCACTCAAAACAAAGTGCAGAGATTATTTGGAGAAATCTCAATTCATTACCATTTGTTTCAGAGGTTATTCATTCGCAAATGCGTCTGTTTATATCACGTAATTTTGAATTTATAAATCGTCTAAATGCAACCGCATCTCATTTACAATCGCGGCTCTTAAATGAGAAAATTGGAGGATGCAACGGTGCATCGTTTATAGCTTTGCGCACCTCCGGCGCGTACACGCGTGCGCATGTTGAACGTGTGCACATTGTGCGGCCTTGTTTCCAATTCACAGCTGGCTGAGGGCCTTCCATTCGCCACGCGGGTCGTGAAGGGTTATTTGACCACACTTAAAACGCATTGTGTTGGCGTGGCTTGGCGAATTTTGTGAGGATGGCGAATTTTGGGAGCATAGCAGTGGACCATATAAAGTACAGTACAACGCCGATTACCACCACCACCCCGACGAGTCACCCGACCGCAACATCAGATGAGTCGTGTCACTCACCGCGTGCCAAGTGCTTGGAGACTCATCGGCATAAGGAGAGCAGATTATCGAAACACAAATACAGTAGACACTCAATTATGTGCGTGCGGTTTATTCCGAAAAGAGTAAAAATCCAAATCGTCAGTTGTGCTTAATTTTGAGTAATTTATCCGATCATTTACTTTGTGAGTTTAAATTGATACCTATGAGTGTTTTTGGCATATATAGATCTGCGGAAAATAGTTATATTTTGGGATTTTCCGTGATTGTGGATTTTCCGCAGCTATCCTTTTCATCATTAGCGTGGATAATCGAGAGTCTACTGTAGATACCGTTCTGATTATCAGTGTGTACATGCCGTGTGCATTTACCTAATCCAAAGAGAGCCAGTTTCGTGGAGCCTTTCTGCAGCAAGATGGGGCTGATCTCAATCTTCTCTAAGGACGTCGCCCGGCCAAAGTGGTTGATGAGTCCGGAACAGCTGAGTAGGTCCAGTGCACACAGCCCTTCCGCCTGAACACAAGCAGCGACCCGTGATGCTATGTGAAGCTCTTGTCATTTTCCGTCCCAAGTTTATTTCGATTCTGCTTTCGGTTTCGTGTCATCAAGCAAAGAATCCACCCAGATCTCTCGCAGAGAAGAGAAACCCTTCGTCTTAGGGAACGACTGACGGAAATGGGATATCACAGGAATGCCTCTGAGATCCCTTCAGAGTTGAGGGCAGCGCTTTCCCAACCCACTCTGCCACATCATCGTACTGTTTGTCGCATGACCGTCAAACCAATATTAACATTTTCAGACCTGGACTTTAGCTAACTTAAGTATAGCACCACATGCAACGTGATGGCTTTTGTGCAGTTATTGGTGATTGGGCAGACATCATCAACTTGCTACCCTTAAAGAAACCCGGCTTAATCACAGGCGGCCAAAACCTGGATTAGAAACTAGGATCTTAATGGTGCCAGCTCAGGGCTCTGATCTCTGTGCCACCGATAGCACAATCGAAGTTGAATTCTAACAGCAGCATAGATTCACATCAGGCTGCGCCAGTAATAATTTTGCAGCACTGAACGCATGAGCGACACTTATGCAGGATTCTGTTATGGACAATTATAAAGAACGGGATTTTTGCTTTCGGGATTTCAGCTGCGGTACAATATGCAATACTCTTTGCAAGTAATGGAGTCAAAAAGTCCTGAAGACAAGTTGGTAATGAAATAAAAGTGGCTGATTATAAACGATGACTCAGTGTGCATGCTAAACACGAGGCTATGATTATTATCAGTTGGTCTGCTGCCATCAGTTGGTCTCATCATCAGCAGCCATGATCAAGCCACTGCTGTGTGACGGTCTTGCGATGCAACAATCCATCGAGCTCCTGCCCACGTGCCGATTTCATCCCTGCAACCCTGCAGGCGTTCCCTCCGTTGGCTGCGACTTTGTTAGTCTTCTTTGGTTCTTTCGGTAAAGTCACGTAGAATGAGAATAAAATAATAAATTGATAAAATGAAATAACACAATAATATTCTCACGACGTTTCGGCCACAACACAAGCGGCCTTCATCAGGTGAAGGGACGAGACTGTCTGGTAGGACAGCGCTGGAGTGAAAGAGCCACGTTCAGATCACGACTTTTAAGCTGTGTGAGAGGAAACAAAGCGCCTTGACAAAGGAATTAGCATATAATTTAGCATTGAAATGGCTGAGTGATTAGCTTGTGACTGGTCACAGAAATAGCTATGTTAAAAGTTAAAGCATACACATCCGCAGAGGCACCCCTTGACAAAGGAATTAGCATAGAATTTAGCATTGAAATAGCTGAGTGATTAGCTTGTAACTGGTCACAGAAATAGCTACGTTAAAGTCAAGGCCTACACATCTGAGCTATTCACAGTACTATATAGTGAACCAATAAAAAACTAAAATATAAATTACCTTAATGTTATCAATACACTCTATATTCTCCAATCAGCTAAGCTACCAACAATAAGTCGTTATATATCACAATGCTATATGGCGAAAAAATGGGTGGATTCTTACCCTCAACTTCAGCACCACGGATAGCTACGGGCCCCGTTCAGACGGACGAGTTCATCCATGGTCGGAACAGAGGAGGGGGAGAGAGACAGCTGCGAGGCGCTATTATACTCCATGTTGTAAACCATACCATTAACCGTGGTGTGAGAGGTATTAAGAGTCAATGCTGGCGAAAGAGCTGCGGTCTGAAGGTCATCGTAAAATACAATTAATTAAGAACAGAAATGGTTTAAAACATCTTTCCAATGGTTACTAAGCCAGAATCCATCTTCTCGGTTGAAATTGTCTCTGTGCTTGTATATGTGAATGGCCTCATGAACGAATCTCTCATGGTAGCCGGTTGGTTTGCAAACAACCTCCGTCTTGGAGAAGTCAATGTCATGTGAGCCCACTGAATTATAACAGTGATCTGCCACGGCAGAGGATTCGCCTAGTTATTTCAATGCTAAATTCTCCTGTTTGATTTGTACTAAGTGCCTCAGTGAATGTGTATGCTCTGACTTTAACGTAGCTATTTCTGTGACCAGTTACAAGCTAATCACTCAGCTATTTCAATGCTAAATTCTATGCTAATTCCTTTGTCAAGGGGTGCCTCTGCGGATGTGTATGCTTTAACTTAGCTATTTCAATGCTAAATTCTATGCTAATTCCTTTGTCAAGGGGTGCCTCTGCGGATGTGTATGCTTTAACTTTTAACATAGCTATTTCTGTGACCAGTAACAAGCTAATCACTCAGCCATTTCAATGCTAAATTATATGCTAATTCCTTTGTCAAGGCGCTTTGTTTCCTCTCACACAGCTTAAAAGTCGTGATCTGAACGTGGCTCTTTCACTCCAGCGCTGTCCTACCAGACAGTCTCGTCCCTTCACCTGATGAAGGCCGCTTGTGTTGTGGCCGAAACGTCGTGAGAATATTATTGTGTTATTTTATTTTATCAATTTATTATTTTATTCTCATTCTACGTGACTTTACCGAAAGAACCAAAGAAGATGAATCATTGCAGTCACGAAAGCTTTAAATCGAGACTTTGTTAGTCTCGACTACTGGCCATCATCCCTTCCAGCAAAGTGTGCTGCCCATGCACACCTCCTTGTTTAAGTTGGCCTCTTACCTGAAATGGAAGCAATGCACTGGCTTGCTTAAGAGCATGGGGGGGTGCCTAAATCCAGCAGTGATCCAGACTCTTTAGAACAACCACTGTTGACGTCTTGACACTCTCATATTATCCACCCTTGAGTAATGGACGAGTCAAGTCAACCCCTGACTTAGATTTTAACGCAATAGCGCTGCCTACATGGTGCGAAACAGAGGAATACACTCCAGCGATACCACCAATATTTACTTACGTCACAAGCAATATCAGTCTGGCGCTTGCTGTGTGTGTGTGCGTGCAATTCCATCGCTGCTCATCAGGCTAGGTAAGAGTTAGCTGGAGAGCGAGTTTTTTTTATACAATCAAGTGCAAAAGTGCGGGATATGCAAACGTAGCATCATGCAGCTCCTTGGGGACATCATTACTGTGAGAGTGTATCCCAGTGCAGCGGCAATTAACAAAGTGCACTTCCCTTGAGAATAAACAAACACCAATACAACACTGCCGGTGAATATAATACTTTTTTTTTACTTATGCCTCCCAGCAGATGCTTGGTCTGATCAGATATATGCAAATCAACGTTGCATTTTATTTGTGTTTAAACTGTTAATTATGAACTCCAACTGCCATTTGCTCGAATCACCAGCAATGCGTCCCGATTGGTCTGTTCGCAGAAGTTAAGCTGCTTTGAGCCTGGCTAGCACTTGGATGGGTAACCAACCATGTGCAGCAACATGTTGTAAGCGGATGGGCTATGTGGTGGCAGCAAATGGCAACCCAGCAAAATAAATTGTGGTACTGTACCCCTATGCTGCCACATCTTACACTGTGCTTTCCCCAACTTTGCATCGTCACATTTTGGTGATCCCGGTCACCCTTGCAAATGAGACTCCTGGTATCTTACAGCGTTCTTACCTTTTTTAACAGAATCAACTTTACAATTGAACTTGATCAGTGTGGTAATGCATCGGTTAAACAAATATTAAACCCATAACCCGCATGGCTTAGGGAGGGCCCTTCATTCCAGCAGTGGATTGACAAGAGTGGGTTGACAAACGAAAATAATTGTATCTGTGGCAATCGTATCTGCAGGGTGAGCTTATTTCGCAATCCATATTTTCATTCGTGAAAAGTCTCTTCCTATTCCACACAAATTTACCGTTAACGGGAAGGGTGTGAACACAAAAACACACAGCCGTGGATGAAAAAGTTGAAATGGATAATTTTTTTATATATATAAAACTTCGTCCAACTCCGATCTCACCTGCACAAGCCCGCAGATGAGATTGATGAAGTTAAAGCAAAAAGTGTATTATCCGGGGCATCCACGCACAACAGTAAAGCCAGCAAAGCCAGCAAAGGCCCCCTCGCCCCCGGAGGGGAAAACGAAGTGAAAGATTGGCCCATGGGTAATCTCTGATTACCCATGGGATAAGATATAGCGGTACGATAAGACTTGGTAGAGCAGCGGGCACAGTGGTCAGCGCACGGTGTTATGAACCCAGCCAACCTGATTTGATTCGTGACCGTGGCTAACATCAAGCGAGTCTGGACCGGTCCAGCGCTCCGACCACCCCACCACCGACTATTCACAAACTCGCAAGAACCAGCGTGGTGAAGCATTGTCAAACAAAATCAGTGTTCGTCCGATGTATGGCGTGGTAACGTCTTCGTCCAGCAGTGGATTCTCAAATTGCTGTGGTCTATTTATTTATCTACAGAGGATACATGAGCTGGTGTGCAGGTGCTGTGTGGTTCGTTTCATTATGGCATTTGAGTGAATGGCAAAAGCTTGGGGACAACTGCATCCAGCAGTGGACTGACCATGACTGATGATTGGTGATGATGAAGACCACAGGGTGGAAGTTCCAGGTTTTACTCCTTGGCCAATACATCACTCGGCGCATACTTAAGGAAAGAAAAACGACTCTTCAGCGGATGTAGTCCACGTGCTAATATAAATCGTCACTTTCAGGTTCCCGTCTGCAAGACGTACAGTTTGCTCAAAGCGCTCGAAAGATTGTCTATTTTTCAACATTATCTCTCTTTTCCCAATTTCGTATAACCTTGCTCAACTCAACTATCTATTTAATACAGTGCCGCTTGTTGCTGCCCATTGGATGTGATGGGCCTTTTGGGCTTTATGGTCAGCAACTGTGCAAAAAATGCACAATTTAGGCCAGAGTTTGTACAAATTCACAATCTTTCTGGAAAACGACTTTGGTGACTGCAGTAATGTGTGGATGATGCTAATTTTGATGCTTACTTTTTATGTTGGGGGGGGAGATCATTTTTGGTGCTGTTGTTGTTGAATCCTTCATTTAACCAGGAGGTGAAATAAACCAACTGAGATGCGATGAAACAACATGAAATCTTTTGGAACCCTGGATGACCTGGTTTCAAAAACGTTTCGTGATGAGGTTGATAATGCTCGTTCTGTACGTTTAAATTCACACGCGTATTTCCGTAAAACGCTGTCTTACCCCTGTAGGGTCATCATGATTCCCATGAACACTGAACACAGGGATGGAGATGTTCAGGTTTGGATCCGCATAGTTGACCCAAGGGAACCTGCAACAAAGAAGAGAAACAGGCGCAGCCTTGAATGTTCCATAATCAAACACGATTAAATGGCTTTTTCAGCAAATGGTAATCGTAATTTTTACTTGATTTTTTAGTTCATTCAGAGCAGTAAAAGCTGGTAACTGAATAAGTAATTACAACAGTCATCTTTCTTAACCAAAAATTTGCCCATTTACAGTGTCTGTATTTTGAAAACAAATGCTTATCATACTATATTACAAAAAAGTTTGCTGGCTGGCTGGCTACCTGGGCGGATTTCTTGTCTGGCTGGGTGCCGTGCGTACGAGTGTTCGTGTGGTGACGTCACCACCCGCCGTGCACGTGTGGTGACATCACGGCGTACGTCTGCATGGTGACGTCACCGCGTACGTCTGCGTGATGGCGTCATCTGCGTCCAACGGCGCTAAACCAGGTTCGTGCGTTGCACTGATGTCACGGCCTCCACCCACCCCACCCTCCATCCCAGATGTGTATCCCACGCAAATGTGCGGGATATGCTCTCATGCCATCATATCATCATACTCGTACCATCATACTATATTATAAAAATATATTATTATTCCAAAATCACCTTCGTAAGTTGCCTGACACTTAAATGAAGCTTCAGTTCACCACTTGTATTTCCGGGCCAGCGATTTTTATTTATTTATTGATCCTACCGGACAAATCTCTGGTAAGCACCTCTCCTGGGAGGCTTAGTAAACATATTTCCCTAGAGGTAGCCGTACACTTGAATAATGCAAGCGTATGAGAATAAAAGACTTCCCCGGAACCTTGAAAATGTATCCCTAATCTTTTTCAGCTTCAGCTTATGCAGATGCATCAGCATCTGTGGGCCACCTTAATTTAATTATCCAAGCATGAATAGAGGACGCCTGCTGCCTTCCAGAATTCCATTCATTTTCGTTTGCTACTTTGAATACATTGAAGACTCCCGTTTGTTACTTCCATTTGACTTTGGCAAATACACAGTTACTCTGCTGCCTGACGTTAGCATCAGCATCTTTATTTATCCTAGAGAAATCTGATAAGCTACAAAGCTTTGTCACAGATGTTCAGTAGGGATAGGACAGAATGTTACAACAACAATAAAAAAAAAAACGATCAGTGTAAAGTATAGGAAAGGAAAGCAAATCGCTAAAAATAAACAGATGAAGTATATAACTTCAAATTGCACAAGTACACCAATTCCCAAGCTTGGGCAAGGCAGCAAAACAACAGAAAGACCAGTTCCAGACCACTCCAAGACAACAACATGAAGTCCCTCAATAAAATTGCACATTAAAAGTATCCAAGTGATTCCAATCAGCCTTGTGGTGAAAATTTCCAAACCAAAAACAATGTCATCAGTCAATCTTGAAGTGTACCATCAACAAAATCTGTCAAACTCCTCTTGTCTGTGATAAGTTGCTTATAAAAGAGTTGCTTTCAGATTGCGAGACTTTACACAAGGGCCCTGCGAACATATTCACAATCAGAAACGTTTTTTATACTGGAGGAATCCGATGAGCTATAAAGCTCGTTTTCACAGATGTCCAGTAGCGGCAGCATATATTCATGGTGTCACCACGTTAAATTGGCATCAAATAACACAACGACTATTCCATAAACGTAATAACTGTAATATCAGTGATTAAAAAGCATTGGTATTAAAAATGCATTGTTATTTATACAGCGTCTGGCTAAATTAAATCCAGCATTGGAAGTACAAGACCCTATATCAGTGAGAACTTAAGGTCATGGCCAGGATGCGCCAACGTTGCTTTGGGCCCAGGAAAGTGGCAAGACATTGGCACCAACAAGTGTCCAATTCATTTTCAACTATAAATAGCCGTACAGCAGGATCGTGCGGTAAAAATACAATTCAAATCTTTTGTAAACTGATGACAGCGAGATGCTGACAAGAGACATTTCTGCCCTCAGGCGCTGGAGAAAACTGGGCTCAGGAGGACTGGAGAGAAAATTGTTCCGCTCTGCTCCACAATCAGCGCCCAAATCCCGTCACACTCGCTGCAGAGACTGGGACAGCGAGCCCGATGCTTAAACGATTGAAAGCGCGCTGCCGTTGAATACTGCACTTTGCCAGGAAACTTTGTTATCTGCAATCCGAGGAAATGGGGAAGGAAAAAAAAGGGAATAATCATCACCGGCCTGGAGGCTCGGCGGTAAAGCGAGTAGTAGGCAGAGTGGCTCACAATTGGAGGCATGCAAGTTCAAATCCTGGTTGGGGGTTAACTCAGTCCATCATCCCTCGGGGGAGCAATAAAAAACAGTACCACCTTGTGAGCAGGTCAATGGTAGTAGTCCTATGGATAGGCTCTTCCCTGCTATAGGAATGCAGAATTTCCACCACTGGCTTAAGCCTGGAAACGGGAGATAAGCACCACCTCAATGATCAATTTGAGCAGGAAATCACTTTGAAACGTCACCTAAAATTGGTGGCTTGGGGCGGCGGCTCTGGTCTAGGTTGTCGGACCCCTAAAGCAATGCAGTTGCCAAAGTCAGCTGAGCCTCCAGTAGGACAAATGCTCTCACGACTGAGTAGTAATAACAATGCCCTTCATTTATCTCAGAAAACCTGAGTGTCAAGGATCGTTTTTGGGTGGGTCCTGCTAAGTTTTTTTTCACCGCAAACAAGGAGGAACAGGTGCCTCTTGTTTCCCAATTAAACCCATCTCAAGCAAACGTTTAAATCCTGGCAAAACGCCGTCACCGCCGCCACGCTCCTGCTCAAAGGGCGTCGCGGGATGCCCCAACGTCCCACCTTGAAAAAGAAAACGGCTCTCAAAATCCCACGGCCGATACAGCCGCAGCATCGACCGGGGGTGGCCTGCTGGAGCCGAACCGCGAAAACCCCCCACAGACGAGCGGCCAACACGCCCCGCACCAGAGGTCGACACCAATCGCTGCTTACGAGCCCAGGGACAAAACTGTGATGTCGGCCGATGCAACGGCTGCGCCGCATACTTGCTCCCGCCGAAGTTCACCGCTTGGTCGCTCAACACTTCAAAGGTGACGGGGCGGTCGCCCATGCAGTACTTGCGCAGAGTCTCCATGCAGGCGTGCATCGCCCGGCGGGATGGCTTGTTCTCGTGGAACAAGTCTCCGCCGAGCAGCACGAAGTCCACCTGCGGGCAACACGACACTGTTGATAAAGATGATAGAGGTGCAGCCCTGCAATTGCTTGCTCGTGCCACTGCTGGCAGAAGGGGCCCCTAAACTGTTGTCCGCAGGTGTTGTCCTTGCCCCGCGCCTCTGATTAGCGCGGTTGGCTACGTACTGTATGAAAGAAGTTCAACGTACATACATACGTAACTCACATAAACTCTACACAGCCCCTCTAGAGGGTGTCTTTGTCCACTCTTTCACGCCGGCCACACGTCTCGGAGGTGGCAGTACCCACACTTTAGCCCACCGCACGCGACCCTCCGATCAACAAAGTCGGGTACCTGTTGATACTGCTGGCTGATGGTGGGAAGCACAGGAGTGTATGTATGGATGTATGTATGTATGTTGAACGTCTTTCACACCGTACGTAGCCAACGTGCTAATCGAAGGTGTGGATGAAAGAACAAATTAAACGCAAAAGGCAGTGTTCAATCTTGATTTAAAAGTGCATAGCCACAGTGACTTCCTAAGTGGAAGCATAGTAAGTACAGTCGAACAATGCTATTGTGCCCTCCACCACACGGCTCCAAAGCAGCCTGCAACGTGGTATTCACAGCGGTCACACCAACCCATGCAGGATCCGGGCTCAATGATGCATAGCTTCCGAGATCTTGACGAGATCAGGAGGGTTCTGGGTAATTTTGTCACATACTGAAACCATACACCGACTGTTTAATATTGACGGCCTGGATAAAAATAGTATATTATTCATGAAAGTTAATCTGCAAACATTACAATGCACGTAAAAAAAACAAATATGACAGGACAACATCAATAATTCACTCATCATCTAGGGGCCATAAGAGACAGAGAACTGTCACCGTGTAACAACTTGAGACAGGCTCTGAAACGTAGGCACAAACACAATTTGCAGCTGCCAAGTCAAATCAAATTCAGAATGGTAATTAAGGATTCAGAAGGTATACCTTAAGCAGTAAACTTGAAAAATGATCACATTGAAAGTGAGAAGAACTAAAACAAGCTCCATGCCTTAAAGTTGTCTGTTTTCACGAGCAGGGAATGCATTTAGCTTTTCCCTTTACCCAGCGATAATCAACAAGTTTCAAATCGGGTTGTTAAAGTTGCGTATATTTTGCATTATAATGCGGCCGTCTGACATGCTCTTCCTTCCGATATTAGGAAGCCACCGGACCCATGCACTTTTCAATCCTCTAAATTGAAAACAATGTTTTTTAGAACTGCTTTTTGTGTTTAGTTTGTTGTGTGTCCCACGCACTTCCAATAATCGCGGTTGGCTCTGTACGGTACGAAAGAAGTTGCCGGTTCGATCTCCCGGTGGCGCGCCAGTTGAAACAATGGGCCAAGTTTATTAAATCCCTCTGCCACTGTCCACCCAGTGGTGGACAAGCAAAAATAATAATTCAAAAAAATTCAGCAATATAAATGGGTACACAACAGTTAGTCGAAAGGTAGGTCACGTGTGGTGGGGTAAAGTGTGGCTTTCTCTAGTTACTTTACAGCCATCTGGCAAGCGTGGAAGAGTAAGCCAAACACCTTCTAGAACAGGGGTCGACAAAACTGTGGCTCCGGAGCCGCGTGCGGCTCTTATTTAAGGACTGCTTCGTGACATTATTCATTGAAGACCACCATGTGCGATTCACATGCATTGCGGCTCTGGAAATATTGAGGGATTTTTTTTTCCGAACTTGCCAACCCCTGATCTAGAGGGACTATCTAGAGTTCCCTATAATTGAGGCCCTTTCAGCCAGCAGCAGAATGAGCAAGAACTTGCGGGGGATGCACCTTTATCTAAGCAGAGCTTCCCCGCACCTCCGATTAGCACGGTTGGCTATGTAGAGAGCGAAAGGCATTCAACATACATACTATGTAAAATCTAATTTCGATTTAAAGCTTTCGTGACTGCAGAGATTCATATTCTTGCTTCTTTCGGTAAAGTCACGTAGAAGGGAAATAATAAAATAATGCAAATAAAACAATAAAATTATCACGACGTTTCGATTGCAACACAAGCAATCATCATCAGGGATACAATTTTATAGCTGTGGTTTTCACACCTGATGATGATTTCTTGTGTTGCAATCGAAACGTCGTGAGAATTGTATTGTTTTATTTGTATTATTTTATTATTTCCCTTCTACGTGACTTTACCGAAAGAACCAAGAATATGTAAAATCACTTTTGTTTACTTTACATAGGAACAAAACATTAATTTTCGATTTAAAGCTTTCGTGACTGCAATTATTCATCTTCTTTGGTTCTTTCGGTAAAGTCACGTAGAATGAGAATAAAATAATAAATTGATCAAATAAAATTACACAATAATATTCTCACGACGTTTCGGCCACAACACAAGCGGCCTTCATCAGGTGAAGGGGCGAGACTGTCTGGTAGGACAGCGCTGAAACGTCGTGAGAATATTATTGTGTTATTTTATTTTATCAATTTATTATTTTATTCTCATTCTACGTGACTTTACCGAAAGAACCAAAGAAGAAAAAACATTAATTATTAACGGGGTTTGCCTGACATTGTTAAATGTACTTGTATTAATGTATTTTAGTTCTGAAACAATAACTCATCATGATAAATAACTAATCAACAACTGCAGGGCTGTGCACACGGAATAAATATAAATCGCCGTCACACTCTGGTTTAGAGCACTTTGAATTTTCAGGAATTTTGAGTCCAGCCACTATAAGGCCAATAATTTATAGCAAAAGTCTTTTGCCGGGAAAATTGGGAAATCAGCCAAATTGCTGCTGTCTGTGTGCAGCTGCAAGGTGGTGTAATTTCCGAGCACTCGTGCAATTGTATGTCTTTTCTCTTGCACTTATCCATTTATTTACAGCACTATTGCCAAACTGTGTAACTGGAACCGGTTGTAGAGTGAACGGGCCATGCGTTCATTGTTGAAGTAAACAAAATCGGTGGCTCCGTTTCCATACAACTGTTTTGTGGAAGAGACCAATTTCTGTCCCCGGACGAGGTTCATTGTGATGGACTGCACGTAGTGTTTGATCAAAAGGTAGATAAAGATATTGATTGCGTACTTTTTATTTTCCAACTTAGCCAGCCAGTGTCCAACTCACAACTGGAAGGAAATGGTTGGGGCGTCTACTCAATTCTTCCTGGCATCAATATTATATTTTGAATTTTTTACCCTTTTTATTTCACCAGGTAAGGCCCCACTGAGCTACATAGATATTTTTCAGAAGCAACCTGGCCACAAATGAAAGCTCAATTAAGTGGCTTATCATGTGTAAATTTATCGCAGCCAAATGCTCTAAACGCGTGATGTTTCTCAACGTCGAGGGAAAAATCAGAGGAACCGGAGAGAAATCCACACGACCACGGGGAGGACTATAAATCGAGTACTCTTTTGCTTTCACTCAATAATACTTGCGTATGACACAATCACCATAAATGTGGCTTATCTCCCCAATATCTGGGTAGCTAAGCAAGCTTGAGCCTGGTTAATTCGTGATTGGGTGGCTGGCTACCAGTGGATCGCCTGGTAATGTGATGTAGGCGCGGGGCTGTAAGGTGACCAGGAGACGGCAACATGGAGCACTGTCGGGGTTCTCTCGGGAGTACAACACATGCCAAACTAAACATCCCAAAGCAGGACCCTCCTAAGAGAGTCTTTGGACACGCATTCATGGAGCTTCCCTGGGTAAGTAACTGGCAGGGAAACTGCCGCCCGCTCATCGCCCGGCTACCTTTCCCGCTCGTCTCCGGTCACTCGTCGTCATCTCCGAGCCGTTCGCTATCTCTCCGAGAGATATAAAAGTACTAAAAACCTCAGCAATATAAATGGGTACACAACCAGTTTAGTCAATTGCTAGGTCACGTGTGGTGGGGTAAAGTGTGGTTACTCTTCGGGGGAGAGAAAATGAACACTGTGCGGCTTCATGTCGCATTCTCCCCCGGTGGGCTTTCTCTCCGACACGTTGTTCCTTGGCTTTAGTTATAAGCCATGCATTGCAGGGGCTGCTTTGAATCGTAATTGCTAATGGTACCATCACAAGCACAAAGCAATGGGAGACTCAATGAATGTGAGCAGTCATTTGTGATGACCTTAGCCTCCTGAGGGTCCTAATATGGGAGCCTACAGATGTGTATGAAAGGGTTCTGGAAGCCAAAGTGGGCTTTCTCCCCATTCAACAAAACAGCATATGTGGGTGGTCCTATTTCACCGTGCAAATGGAATGGCAATCAATTCGGTTTATGAATTCTGAGCTTGGAATCAGAGCTTCGATCAAAATCAAGATTTTTTTAAATGGCATTGGAGAACTGGCCTTGGGCCTTTCCCAAGGTTGACTCAGCCGTAAATGGGTACCGGTTGAGAGTGTAAAGATTGATGCTGTGCAATTTGTACTTTAATACTTAACTAGCCTTTTGCCCATCCAAGGACGGTTGTATATTGGAGTAAATGTGAAATATTCAATAGAAAAATTGTTCAGCTCATGATTATTAATAAAGGGGGGGGGGGGTTGCCCCATGTGGAGTGACATCACCCGCTAATAGTTATTGGGGAGGGTTGTTACATGTGAAGTGACGTCACCCGCTCATGATTATTAATGAGGAGTGGGGTGCGGCACGTGGGGTACGCGACCTTCTTGTGCATTCGTGTAAATTTCCACGTGGGCATGAATATTAAGAAAGGGGGGCTCTTTTGCAGTGACGTCACGCACGGATGTAGCACTGTGCTGCGTAGATGTATTTTTTACCGTCACTTTCTGTAAACAAACGTCATATTTGAAGCGCCTTTGCGTAATAAATTATTTAATTCGGCTCGACCTTCCTCTGCGTTCGTGTAAATTCCACCCAATCATGAATATTAATGAGGGGGGGTGGGTTTCATGTGGAGTGATGTCACGCGGGGAGGTGGGCTTCATGTGGAGTGAGGTCACGCGCGGGACACACACACATTCTTGGCTCATTATAGTAGTATTATTATTTAGTTACTTTTAGCGAC